GTAAATGACACCGCACTCTCCTTGTTTAGGTGGAATTTGAAGACGAGGAAGGCACCGGCCTGGGGCCGTCATTGGAGTTTTATGCCCTTGTGGCTGCCGAGCTTCAACGTAAGAGCCTGGGCATGTGGATTTGTGATGACGTCATGGTGGATGAAACTGCCAGAGAGGTGTGTGAAATTGATTGATTGTGTTTTATGTAGTAAAAAGCGTAAAAGAGGTCCTTTCACGTAGGCCATTTCAGAGTTGCCCCAATCCTCTGTTTCAAAGCGAGGCTAGGTGTGAAGGTGTTAAAAGGGAAATGACTTTTTGTTCTCATCAAATAAACCTCATTTTCACATGAAAGGTTTTACACTTAGCCTCGTTTTGAAAGTGAAAAGATTTGGAACTCGGAAATGGCCTGTTGTCAGGCTAGTTTTTGATGGTGAAATTTTGACTTAAATAAGAGTTGTGTTGTATGGACTACGAATTAAGCTAAACTAAGTTATTCGTGGTCATTGCAGGTTGATATTGGTCATGGCATCCGCCCTAGGGGTTATTACGTGCAACGCGCAGGAGGCCTCTTTCCTGCGCCCCTGCCTCAGGATGCGCCTGACACGGAGAGGGTCGCAAAGCTCTTCTACATCCTGGGTATCTTCCTTGCTAAAAGTTTACAAGACAGTCGACTAGTGGACATTCCTTTATCACTGTCATTTCTAAAGCTTTTGTGTTGGAGTCCTTCGTCTTTAATCAGTAACAGCTCTGCAAGTCACAATCGCGGCTCGGTTCTTAAAGTAATCGACGATGCTTCATGCCCCCTCGAGGATTTTGTCGAGAGCTCGGACACAACGAACGAGCTCGATCAACCTCAACCGAGCTTGGAGGAGAACGAAAATACCATTAACAAAATGGACTGGGAATTCAGCAAAGAAAGAGAACTTATTGAAGAAAAGGAAGAACTCTCCAAGGAGGAAAATTCTGAACTGAGTAAAACTAAAGAGAGCGTCGAGGAGATACCTACAACGCCTTCAACACCGTGTTGGTTTGCGGGAATTTTGGACGATAGTGATATGGTCACGGTTGATCCTCACAGAGCCACTTTTATAAAACAACTCCAAGAATTGATAGCTAGGAAAAACGACATTCTTACGGACGATTTGCTGTCTGCAAACGAGATGAAAGCCAGATTATCAGAGCTCAAGCTTAAAACAACTCATGGTGGTGAATGTAGTGTTGACGACTTAGGGTAAGTGGTAGTTTTAATGCTGGTTTGTTTGTTGATTCTCCAAAATGTAGTACAGTCGTCCTAACTTCTAGGGCGTCTTAAGTGGTCCTTTGGCGAGGTAGTATTTCCTTATTATTATCATACAAAATTCCACAACAACAAGTTTATTTTTCTCTTCTGTATAAAGACAACTAAAAGGAATTTTGTTAAATTTTGAGGTAAAGCAAAAGGTAGAGGGAGAAAACCTTTTACCGAAAAGACATTTGAATATTTCATTCATTTTGGTCAGTTTAAGCTTTTAAAGATTCATCATCATCATCATCATCATCATCGATGTTAGAACCCTTATTACTTTGTTATTACTGGTATTTGTAGTCATTAATAGTAATGATTGTAATACATGATTATGTTATTTTCAGGTTAACGTTTCAGTTCACTCCATCCTCCAAGGTGTATGGCTTTAGTGAAGTAGACCTGACTCCCAATGGCGGAGACAAGGTACTCATTGAAACTCGTAATAAATTTGATCTCAGTTACTTCGTTTAAAAATGAGTGCTGCTTATAAATAGACCGTTGGCTTTCAACCTATGCATTTCTGCCCATTACCACACGCTGGAGATCTTAGTGTTACTGTACGTACTTAGGATAATTCGTGCACGGTCTGTGTGGACCATTTGGAATTAGAGAGGAGGTTTTAACTCAGGTCTTTGTTTCAATATTTTTCGTTCGTTTCTAACAGATGTTGACTGTAGAGAATGCAGAGGAGTATATCAAGTTAGTCAAGGAATTCTGTTTGTTCACTGGTATTCAACGGCAGGTGGATGCATTCAAAGGTAATGAATTTCATAGAAGCTCAATCGAAGCTGTAGCTCTACTTGATTGTTAATTCAAACCTTGAGACTGTGTGCGAGTACAAGATAGGTGTGTCCTTCTCCTTTTTCAGAAAGAAGGTGCGGCCACACCTAGGCTAGAATGATTTCGTGTACTAGTAAAAAATATTTTAAGCCAGTTCTGTCAGCAGTACTCTCACTTTATCCTGTGACCATCAGCAACTAATCCATTCAGTTGGGTACTCGGCAGTTGCACTATACGTCGGGAACGAGGCCAGGCTCACCTCAGGCCGCGACTCTCAAGCGCATGCTCTCTTCTTTACTTTAGAGGTTAGACTATGTAGACGTGTAATAGCCTGGACTTAGTCCTCTGATATTTCATCTATTTTGCAGACGGATTTCACGCCGTTTTTCCGATGGAGAAGCTGACTCCGTTTACACCAGAGGAGCTACAGTTGATGCTGAGCGGAGAGCAAGTTCCGCAATGGAGCAGAGAGGACATAATCAGCTACACAGAGCCTAAGTTTGGCTACACACGAGAGGCCCCGGGCTTCCAAAGATTTGTTAACGTGCTGATGAACATGAACGGCGATGAGAGGAAGGTATGAAATCTGACTGGAAGCAAAACTGACTTCCTTTCCTTTCTCATTCAAATACTGTAATTTTTCTCCCTCCCCTCCCCTTCCCCCGATTTTACGAACGTAAAATACTCCGAACCAACTCTCTTCTCTGCGGGAGGTTAGGGATTCAACTGTACTAAGATTTTCTACAACTAAGGAACGGTGGGAGGAGTAGGTGGCGCAGTGAAGCTGGTGGAGGTACGGTTATAGAAACGGAACTCTGCACAATGCAGTGATTCATCTCTTATCTAATGTTATTATTCATACAAAATATTTCCCCGATTCTGATTGGCTAAAAGCACACGTTTAATTCACCATAACCAGTTACTGATGACCAAATTTGGAAGAAATTTGACTCTAACGAGGAAATGACGTCAAAAATACAGCGTTTTCGCAGGTTAAGGCACCGTTGACCGAGAAGACCTGGGGACGAGGTTGAGTTGTTTTGGTTGAGAACTTGAAAAAAATGGCGGACATTTCACTCGTTTTAAGAGTAAGAACTAGGCGAAAAAATAGCTAAAAACATGGCAAGAATAGCAAGAAGACAACTCGAAGGGCGACATCTGCTATTTGGAGAATATTTGCCCTCGACCTGTTTGGATTTGCATGTGATAGCTTCTACTTGACTTGTAGCTACCTAGCTACCTCCATTCGTACAAAATCGATTGTTTTTAAACTAGGAATTATTTTGAATGAATAATAAAACAGTTATTGAGTTCGGCTTTCGTATCATATGAAGAATAATGGAGATCTCGGAGGGTGTTATCCGCCTCGGCCTACGGCCTCGACGGATAACACCCTCCTCGATCTCCATAATTCTTCGTAAGATACTCAGCCTCATTCAGTAACTGTTAAATAATTTATGTATCATTCTTGTGGCAGGCGTTCCTTCAGTTTACCACCGGCTGTTCCTCACTGCCACCTGGCGGTCTTGCTAACCTTCATCCACGCCTGACTGTGGTGCGTAAGGAGAGCGAGGGTGATGGATCATTCCCGTCTGTTAACACCTGCGTACATTACCTCAAGCTGCCTGAGTACTCTTCAGAGGAAGTGATGCGAGAGAAATTGCTTGCGGCTACTAAAGAGAAAGGATTCCATCTGAATTAGAACATCGTGTCTCTCTTGCTGACATAACTTTAAAGACTTATTCAAACAAGAACAACGTTTCACTTAAAGAATCCGGTCTAGCTGCCTATAGAAGTATGATAGCAAAGTTGAGGTCGAATCTAAAGTAGATTGGATAAAACGTACTGGAGCGAGACTGTAAAACGGTGTGGTTGAATTCCTCAAAGTTACATGTACATGAAAACACAAACAGTACAAGCTCAAGAGCGTCGGAGTGTCAACACCGCCAATACTTGAGTTTTCTGTGTACTCGCATCAACTTTTCTGTGTTATCGTTCGTCCCTCTTTAAACGTTGTTGCAAACCTTGATCTGGTGCAAGGACCTTCCTCAATCCTTGTTTTGGTCTTTTTTCCTGTTGTTATTTTACAGCTGAAGAGTTGGAAAAACAAAGTTTCGCCGTAGTTTTAAAACAAGACACAGAGGCTGTTCATACATTTCATACCCTTGAGCTGTAATGAACAGAGCCACACTTCTAACGCCTTACCGTGGCTTTATTTTAGTTTGTAATTCCTCCTCCTTTCGCACTTATATTGATGGACTACGCTGCGTTTAGCGTACCTCTCACATCTTTCGTTGTCAGGATAACTGACTTGAGAGGCCACATAGCTCAAACAAGTTTTCATTACTCAGAGTTGGATGCAGAGCGTTATATTTAGTAAATGTGTAAACACAGTAAAATCGCTTGTCTTTTGTTTAAATGGAACTTATAGTAAGTAAGGTCTAGTTAGGTTTCTTGAATGGTGCTAAGTCGTATTAAATAATACAAAATGCCGTTATTACGAGGGACTGAGTGTGCTTTTGTTGGTTTAACTTGTCTTCATGTTGAGATGCTAAAGTCCGTTGTACATTTTGGTGTAGGATTCGTGTGTCCCTGCTGTCTCCATTCGCCCTTTAAGTAGTCGGCTCGGCCTCTGGGTCTTCCCTGTACTCAAAGAATCTCGTATATCAAACAGCGTAATATAAGGCTTTACTCCGCCGTATTTTATTACGCTGGAATTTACACTTACAAACTTATTAGTGAGGTCAACAAACAAGATGCAAGCAAAACTTCGACAATACCTTCGCTACAGATAAATGTTTGTCCGTAAATTATTCCTCTCAACTTACAATGCCATGGTGGTTCTCTTGCAACCCACACAATCTGAAACTAAGTTTAAACATTATGTACTTTTAAAGTATATTGCTCAACTACCCACAAGGTCAGGACCAGGTTCTGGTGTCCACTAGAAGAGGTTCCTAACCGTATACACAAAACAAGCTTGCTTCATCACACTATCATTTCCAACTTCGTCAAACATCTTTTCGTGACCAGTTAAGACCCCCCAAAACATAAGCTAACAAAAAAAACACCTACGGAAAATTTAAACTTTTGACTCCATGGCATAAACTTGCCAAAATTCGATATGGCCACCACCCAAAATCAAAATAATTATAAAAGGTCTCTTGAACCCTGTCTTGGTGAATTTAAACAAAAAAACAATCGAAGAGGAAATTTCAAATTTTGTCCTAAAATCATGGGTTAACCTTTTGGAAAAAGAATCAAATATGGCTACCCTTCAAAATCGAACTCTTCTTAAGGTTCCTTACCGCCCTTTTAACAGATTAAAACATCGTCAAATTAGACAATTTGACAACAAAACCAATAGAGAAAAACCTTGACATTTTAACCTAGAATCATGGGTTGACCCCTTTGGAAGAATCCAATATGGCCACCCCCAAAATTGAACTTGCAAAAAACGCGTCCTTCCGACAATCTTTGAACTCTTTAACTTCGTGAAACATCTTTTTCGACTCTATTTCGACAAAAAGACAATAAAAAAGAGACTTTCCAATTTTGCACCAAAATCATGGGTTAACCCCTTTGGAAGAATCCAATATGGCCACTCCCAAAATCGAATGTTTTAAAAAGTGCCTTTTCGGCATTTTTAGCACTCCTTAATATCGCCAAACAATTTTCTCTACTCGATTTAAAACAAAACCGATCAATAAGAGACTTTCTAATTTTGCCCAGAAATCATGGCTTAACCCCTTTGCAAAAATCCAATATGGCCACTCCCAAAACTTGATTGAACTTGTCAAAAACGCGTCTTTCCGGATATTTTTGCACTCTTTAACTTCGTGAAACACCTTTTTCGACTCCAATTCCTAGAAAGGCGTTTTTCGTTCTAGAACATCGTAAAAAACATTTCCTCGCCTATATTGCCTAAAATAAAATGGCCAATTTTTGACCAAAACCTTGGGTTCACCCCTTTGGCAAAATGGCAGCTATTCGACTTTATGAACTTTTTGTTTTTATAGCCTACAAAGGCGTTTATTTGTTCTAGAAGAAAGTAAAACGCATTTTCCTTGCCTATATTGCATAAAAAAAGAACATTCAACAATAGCCAATTTTTGACCAAAACCATGGGTTAACCCCTTTGGAAAAATGTCAATTTTTCGACTTTTTGAACTTGTTTTTAAAGCCTAGAGAGGCGTTTTTTCGTTATAGAATATCGTAAAACACATTTTCCTGGCCTATATTTCTTTTAAAAAAAAAACATGGGAAAATGGATAATTTTTGACGAAAACCATGCGTTAACCCCTTTGGAAAAACGACGGTTTTTCGACTTTTTGAACTTCTTGTTTTTGTAGCCTAGAAAAGCATTTTTTCGTTCTAGAATATCGCAAAACACATTTTACTGCCCTATATTGCTTTAGAAAAAAAGATGGAAAATGGCCAATTTTTGACCAAAACCATGGGTTAACCCCTTTGGAAAAATGTCAATTTTTCGACTTTTTGAACTTCTTGTTTTTATAGCCTAGAAAGGCGTTTTTCCGTTCTACAATATAGTAAAACTTACTTTCCTGGCCTATATTACCTAAAAAAATAAAGATGGAAAATGGCCACTTTTTGACCAAAACCATGGGTTAAGCCCTTTGGAAAAATGTCAATTTTTCGACTGTTTGAACTTCTTGTTTTTATAGCCTAGAAAGGCGTTTTTTCGTTCTAGAATATCGTAAAACAACTTTTCCTGGCCTAAATTGCTTTAGAAAAAAAAGATGGAAAAATGGAACATTTTTGACCAAAACCATGGGTTAACCCCTTTGGAAAAAATGTCAATTTTTCAACTTTTTGAACTTCTTGTTTTGGTAGCCTAGAAAGGCGTTATTTCGTTCAAGAATATCGCAAAACACATTTTACTGCCCTATATTGCTTTAGAAAAAAAGATAGAAAATGGCCAATTTTTGATCAAAACCATGGGTTAACCCCATTGCAAAAATGTCAATTTTTCGACTTTTTGAACTTCTTGTTTTTATAGCCTAGAAAGGCGTTTTTTCGGTATAGAATATAGCAAAACTTATTTTCCTGGCCTATATTACTTTAAAAAAAAAGAATGAAATATGGCCAATTTTTGACCAAAACCATGGGTTAACCCCTTTGCAAAAATGTCAATTTTTCGACTTTTTGAACTTCTTGTTTTTATAGCCTAGAAAGGCGTTTTGTCGTTCTAGAATATAGTAAAAAACATTTTCCTGGCCTATATTGCTTTAGAAAAAATGATAAAAAAATGGCCAATTTTTGACCAAAACCATGGGTTAACCCCTTTGCAAAAATGTCAATTTTTCGACTTTTTGAACTTCTTGTTTTCATAGCCTACAAAGGCGTTTTTTCGTTCTAGAATATCGTAAAACACCTTTTCCTTGCCTAAACTGCTTTAGAAAAAAAAGATGGAAAAATGGCCAATTTTTGACCAAAACCATGGGTTAACCCCTTTGGAAAAATGTCAATTTTTCAACTTTTTGAACTTCTTCTTTTTATTGCCTAGAAAGGCGTTTTTTTTTGCTAGAATGTAGTAAAAAACATTTCCCTGGCCTATATTGCTTTAGAAAAAAAGATGGAAAAACAAAAAATTATGTCCCAAACATAATTACATTTTTGCGTCGGGATACCTGTTGTTATCAGGCACTGGCTGCGTGAACTGGGTACTAGGGAACATGTGATCGAGGATTGCTTTATAGTACGTTGCGCAAATACGAGGGCCCCTTTCTACCTCTACACCATCGTGTGGCAAGTTATCTGTTCAAATTTTCCCACCTACCTCCCCCTCTTCGCCAGCCAGTGTTTAGTGTTTAGTTCTCTCTCGGAAGGCGCTTATTTCTTCCCCACCTTTTCCGAAGAGACATTCAATTACTTAATTTTTTCCATGTCACGTCACGCTCTGATTAGTTTGTTAACCGTGGCGTGACTTTTTACTGTTATCTTAATAAATACGTCACAATAGTGGCCAATTTTATCCAACCATATGAGTACATTGTCTCTTCGTAAAACTAGTGCGACCCGGAGCTAATTACCCCTCGACTACCTAAGTTTGCGAGATTAGTAAATCCCCAATATATAACTTTCGGAAAGGTATCGTGATGTAAAAA